GAATGTGAAAGCTCATATTGAGTTGTTCATTCGACGAGTCCAAAAGTCTCCCAACCCTCATGGACTACTTCTGCTGCTTTTGTTTGGCTTCTACAATTTGTGGTTATGTCCTTATTGCTGAAGATGCCACACACTTCAGACACAGGACTCAGGAGTCAGTATGGATCAAATTTAAGGGCTTCCCCACTGTGGACTTGATTTCATGGTACCAGAGATACTATGTAATCTGGTGACAGTGGGGTGGCATTCAATCTTCCAACACAGGTGTGACACCTATGAACCACATAAAAGATCAGCACAGTAGTATATTCTTAGAGGTGCAATACTGGCACTCATGTGTTAGAGGTAACCAATAGCTGTCTAATTGGACCTAACAAGAGGAAATGCAGCCAAGTATTCATGGCTAGTGCTGTCATGGAACTTGGAGGAGAACCTATGCTGCCACTGTATTAAAGCAGCATAGTTCCTAACTGCATTCTGAAATCCTATCCACATAACCACGTATAAGTGTAGCTCTTATCCATGATTACAGAAACTGATGTAGGGGCCCCAGCCCCAGTGGATATATCTACAATACCATCTCTTAGCTAAGGTTCAGGGAACATCACGCAAGAGGGTGTAGAATAACTGTAAGAGCCAGAGGATCAGGAAGTCTGCTGGAAGACTGATCTAGAAATAGCAGGGATGATCCACCTTGAACAATATACCTGCCTAAACAACACTTGAACAATGACAACAATATTAGGCACATTAAAGTGGAAGGAGGTAATCTCATGGAACCCCCTTCCAAGTAAAGAACTATAGGTAATTAATGACTGCTGAGAGAGTAAGCATTGGCCTTTCCCAGGGATAAGCCCCGTAATTGCTTTTTCAGTACTGGCTGGTCAACCCTGAAAACATATATAAACAAGTAACACTAGATGGACTAGGAAGGTTGCGTGTGTGTGTGTGTGTGTGTGTGTGTGTGTGTGTGTATGTGTACATACATAGTGCATTTATATATATAACAATGACAGTTAAAAAGAGGGAATGGATTTGGAAGGGAGCAAAGAGTGACATAGAAGGGGATGGAAGGCATAGAAGGAGGGGGAAATGCTGTAATTATATTTTAACTAAAAATTGAAAAGCAAGGCGTTGACCCTGTGCTACAGCTCTCCGCACCCCAATCCCACCCAGAGGAAGCTTGTCTCCCAGGAGTGTTGATATATCCAAGCTCACAGGTGAGACCACCACCACTGCCCCAATACCTGGCCCAAATGGGACCTGCCCAGGACCCAGTGGACTCAGGAACCGAAGCGTAGCTGGGGACAAAATCCTTCCAGTTTCTATCTATGCATGGGGGCTGACCCTGTGCTACAGCCCTTTGTACCCCAATCCCACTCAGAAAAAGCTTAACCTCCTAAGAGTGCTGACATACCCAGGCTCACAGGCTCACAGGAGGGACAAGCTTCAGTCAGAGACAGCAAGGTCAGCTAACACCAGAGATAAGCAGATAGTGAGAGGTAATCGAAAGAACATAATCAACAGAAATCAATGATACTTGGCATCATCAGAACCCAGTTCTCCAATCACAGCAAGCCCTGGATACCACCAACATACCTGAAAAACAAGATTCTGATCTAAAATCACATCTCATGATGATGATAGAGAACTTTAAGAAGGACATAAATAACTCCCTTAAACAATACAGGAGAACACATGTAAACAGGTAGACACCATCAGGAAAACACAACCAAACAGGTGAAGGAGTTGAACAAAACCATCCAGGATCTAAAATTTGAAATAGAAACAATAAAGAAATCACAAAGGGTGATAACCCTGGAGATAGAAAATCTAGGAAAGAGATCAGGAGTCATAGATGTAAGCATCACTAGCAGAAAACAAGAGATAGAAGAGAGAATCTCAGATGTAGAAGATACCATAGAAAACATTGATACAACAGTAAAAGAAAATGCAAAATGCAAAAAGCTCCTAACCTAAAATATTCAGGAAATCCAGGACACAATGAGAATACCAAACCTAAAGATAAAAGGTATAGAAGAGAGCAAAGATTCCCAACTCAAAGGGCCAGTAAATATCTTCAACAAAATTATAGAGGAAAACTTCCCTAACCTAAAGAAAGAGATGCCCATAAACATACAAGAAGCCTACAGAACGCCAAATAGATTAGACCAGAAAAGAAATTCCTCCCACCACATAATAATCAAAACACCATATGCACAGAACAAAGAAAGAACATTAAAAGCTATAAAGAAAAAAGGTCAAGTAACATATAAAGGCAGACTTATCAGAATTACACCAGACTTCTCACCAGAGACTATAAAAGCCAGAAGATCCTGGACAGATGTCATACAGACCCTAAGAGAACAAAAATGCCAGCCCAGGCTACTATACCCAGCAAAACTCTCAATTACCATAGATGGAGAAACCAAGATATTCCATGACAAAACCAAATTTAAAAAATATCTTTCTATGAATCTAGGCCTAAAAAGGATAATAGATAGAAAACTCCAACACAAGGAGGGAAACTACACCCAAGAAAAAAGAAAGAAATTAATCTTCTTACAATAAACCCAAAAGAAGATAGCCACACAAACATAATTCCACCTCCAACAACAAATATAACAGAAAGCAACAATCATTGGTTCTTTATATCTCATATCATCAATGGACTCAATTCCCCAATAAAAAGACATAGATTAACAGACTGGATATGTAAACAGGACCCAGGTTTAGGCTGTAAACAGGAAACATACTTCACTGACAAAGACAAACACTGCCTCAGAGTAAAATGTTAGAAAAAACATTTCCAAGCAAATCGTCCCAAGAAACAAGCTGGAGTGGCCATTCTAATATTGAATAAAATCGACATTCAACCAAAAGTTGTCAAAAAAGATGAGGAAGGACACTTCATACTCATCAAAGGAAACCTACAACTCTACATCTGATAGAGGGCTAATATCCAAAATATACAAAGAACTCAAGAAATTAGACTCCAGACAACCAAATAACCATATTAAAAGTGAGGTACAGAGATAAAGAATTCTCAACTGAGGAATCTTGAATGGCTGAGAAGCACCTAAAGAAATGTTCAACATCCTTAGTCATCAGGTAAATACAAATCAAAAGGACCCTGAGATTCCATCTCACACCAGTCAGAATGGCTAAGATCAAAAACTCAGGTGACAGCAGATGCTGGTGAGGATGTGGAGAAAGAGGAACACTTCTCCATTGCTGGTAGGATTGCAAGTTGGTACAATCACTCTGGAAATCAGTCTGGCGGTTCCTCAGAAAATTGGACATAGTACTACCTGAGGACCCAGCTATACCAGTCCTGGGCATATGCTCTAACATATAACAAGGACATATGCTCCACTATGTTCAGAGCAGCTTTATTTTTAATAACCAGAAGCTAGAAACAACCCAGATGTCCTTCAACAGAGGAATGGGTACAGAAAATGTGGTGCATTTATACAATGGAGTACTACTCAGCTATTAAAAGCAATGACTTCCTGAAATTCGCAGGCAAAGGGATGGAACTAGAAAGTATCATCTTGAGTGAGGTAACCCAGTCACATAAGAACACACATGGCATGTACTCACTGATAAGTAGATATTAGAAAAAAATCTCAGAATACCCACAATACAACTCACAGACCATATGAATCTGAAAAAGAAGGAAGACCAAAGTGTGGATGCTTTAGTCCTACTTGGAAGGTGGAACAAAATCATCATGGGAGATAGCGAGAGGGAGGGACCTTGGTGAGAGAGAGGATGGGGAGGGAAAAATGGGGACAGGATCAGGTGTGGGAACAGGCAGGGGAGAAGTACAAAGGGTCAGAAAATTGAATGGAGAAAATCGAATGGAGGTGTGTAGCAGTGGAGGATGGGGAACTGGGGGTAGCTATTAGAAAATCCCAGATGCCAGGAAAGCAAGACGTTCCCGGGACCCAAGGAGGATAACATTATCTGAAATACCCAATAAAGGGGAAAGAGAACCTGTAGAGACCATATCTACAGGCATGGCAGGTTAGGCATGGCCCCTGGTTGAGGAATGGGGCCACCCACCCATCTCAAAAATACTAACCCAGAATTGTTCCTGTCTAAAGGAAATGGAGCGACAAAGAGTAGAGAAAAGACTCAAGGAAAGGCCATCCAGAGACTGCCTCACCTAGGGATCCATCTCATCTGCAGACACCAAACTCAGACACTATTGCTGATACCATGAAACGCTTTCTGACAGAAGCCTGGTATAGCCGTCCCCTGAGAGGCTCTGGCAGAGCCTGACAAATACAGACGTGGATGCTCGTAGCCAACCATCCGACTGAGCCCAGGGACCCCAATGGAGGAGTTATAGGAAGGACTGAAGGAGCTGAAAGGGTTTGCAAGCCCTTAGGAAGAACAACAATATCAAACAACCAGACCTCCCCCACCCCACCCCTAGAGCTCCCAGGGACTAAACCACCAACCAAAGAGTACACATGGAGGGACCTATGGCTCCAGCTGCATATGTAGCAGAGGGCTGCCTTATCTGGCATCACTGGGAGGGCAGGCTCTTGGTCCTGTGGAGGCTAGATGCCCCAGCATAGGGGAATACTAGGGTGATGAGGGGTGAGTGGGTGGTTGGGTGTGGAAGCACCCTCATAGATGGGAATGGGATAGCAAGTTTGCAGAGGGAAAACCGGGAAGGGGGATAATATTTGAAGTGTAAATAAATAAAATAATGAATAAAATAAATAAATAAAATTTCTTATGGTTTTGAGCAGATTAAAAAAAGAAATTGAAAAGCAAGTAAATTGACCATTTTCTACCGTTAGTGTGTAAAGTGTGCTTCATAATTAACTGCTTTAACTTTAGATGCTATCTTTGCAGAATTTAGTAGAACAGACTTTAGCTAAGTTTCTTATAAAAATACTTACGTTTCAATTTTAGATCTTGAAGACCATAGGAATTTGTCAGAAAAAAGTAACTTGTGACCAGGAACAAGAGTGTCCTATTACCTGAATCTCTTCAGTCACTGATTTAAACTGAGGAACACGCTCTGTCATGTTTTTAACCAGTTCCACCGCATTATCAAATCCCTTTACATATTCTCCATACATCTTAAGGAATGGTGCCAACTTTTGCAGGATATCTCCAATTCTGGGTGTGGTTTCCCTGTATTAAATATAAAAATGTCATTACGGTTTCTTACAGAATAAGGAAGTCTGGTAAGCCCAAAGGTAGAGTACCATTTGCTCTATTAGATCCACTGCTCTAACACTTGCAAGAAATAGTTCTCAAAAGGAAGCTTAAGAACTGCAGAACGAGCCTATGGAACTCCTGGAGTTGCTGATCATGCCTAAGTCTTGTCTTCACTAGTCAGAGCATCATTTAGAGCACAGAAGCAAATTTAGCCTGTTGAGCGAAACATGAAAATACAGTCCCACATCTACCAGTAGTTTTTATTTAAAGACTTGGAACTATATTTATTGTAGCTGTAGTGTGTGGTATATCTGTTCTTCTTTAAAAGTTAAGAAGCACTGTCCTGTATGCATGTCTTAGGCACAGAGTCCCATTTCTCCATCTTACCATTCTTGCATTCGCTTCTCCAGCTCAGGTAATAGGAATTTACTATGGAAGGCATTTATTGATGAAATATTAGAAAAGATTTTATTCACCATCTCTGCAGGAAATGAGCCTCGGTTTGCCTCTTCTAATAGTTTGCAATAAAATACCTGAATAAAAGAATAAAGCAAATGTCACTTTAGATTTGTGGGCTAACCTGTTTTCACTGCACTGGCCTGTCCTGGGATGGAAACATTAGCTTTCAGAGTAAGTGGGGAAGCTTATGGCTTAGGAAATCAATGACTCTGTGAAATGTAGGAAGAACTATATGTTTTGATTTTGAAGAATTTTAAATGAGGGTTAGGAAGATTTGTTGATAACTAAAACCATACCCCTATCTATATGGAATTTATTTACCTTTTTTTCTCTAGAATGTTAAAGTAGATAGTTAATAAGGTGTTTCTGTGCAGAGAATTTCCAACTGATGAGGAGGGATTCACATTCTCATCTATGGCTATAATTAAGGGTTGTGAAAAGATTTTATTATGTACACAGTGTGATATTTTTCACTTACTATGTTTTGAATGATGTCTATAGTAATTATAAATTTCTCTCACTGTGGGTAATGGCTAGTGTTAATTGTCAAGGAATCACCTGGGACATGAGCCTCTGGGCACCTCTGTGGACGATTATCTTAATTGGATTGACAGAGATAGGAAACCTGCCCACATGGGTAGCAGCATTCCATGGCTGGGATCTTGAATCAGTGGAGAAGGGATGCTGAGCAGCCCAACACACTTGTTCTTTGTTTCTTTTTTCTTTTTTTTTTCAGATAAAATATTATAGGTTTATTTAAAACTTATTTCTCACCTCGAGTATGCAAAATACAAACTCCATGAAATGTTCATTTTTTTACTTTGTAGTTTACAAATATACAAAAGAGAAGTTTGCTTAAATTTATATTACATATTTATTAAGGCAAGGAACTATATAGAAAAACACATTTGTTCTGCTTAAAGGCATACTTGGGAATAAACCATTGTACAAATTATTGTTCTTTGTTTCTTGACTATGAATACAAGGTGACATGCTTCATCAAGCTCCTGCCCTCATGACCTTCCTGGCATAATGAACCGTATCCTCGTCTTAAACTGTGAGTCAAAAGGAATCCTCCCTCATTTAAGTTGTCCTTCTCAGGCTTTGCTTCACAGCAACAGATGGCAACAAAGGTGGCAATGTCTGCTGCTGTCTCCCACGATCTTTATAGATACTGTATGTATCTTGAACAGGGAGTAGGTAACTTCGTTCCCATAGAACAGGGGCAATAATGAACAAAACTCTTTGGTTCTCAGATTTTCATTTGCTTTTTAATAAACAATACCTGACTATGTGAATACTTTGTATGTTCGGGGATCTCCACCTGTAACATGTACTGTAGAGATAAGTGGCAAATGCAAACATACTGAACTCTTGGCTATACTCTGCTCTGGCTACAATACGGAACTGCCATTTTGTTAAAATCAGGCAGTAGAAAAATCTGTTCCATCACCATGTCCAAAGGACTATTAATTTTCTAAATTTACCTAACTGCACTTTATTATTGGGAGGCCAAAAGTACTATACAATTATCTCCTTAAAGACTCTGACAGATGGGGCATTATACTAATTAACACACTAAAACATCTAAAATATCAAGAAGTAGTCAAATTAATTTGCACTAGAGAGGAAGGGGAGGGAGAGAAGGACAGAGACCGAGAGAAAGAGAGAGTGACAGAGAGAAAGGAGGAGGAGGAGGAGGAGGAGGAGGAGGAGGAGGAGGAGGAGGAGGAGGAAAAGGAGGAGGAGGAGGAACTAACTTGCCTATAAGAAAAAAACTTTTTTCACTATAGGAACATTTTCACATTCCAAGACTGCATTTCCCACAGGAATTGACTTTGTTTCATGGTAAAGTTCCTTCACACAGAGAATCTGAACTACAACTTCACTGTTTCACAGAATACAAACTTTAAATTGGCTTCACAAAATCCATACAACCAGTGTAGGGTTGACCCTGGGAACCAAGATAAGATGTGTCTAGGACCATGTGTTTCCATGAAATCCCAATTTACCAGAGGCCAAACAAGAATGAGACTCACAACAAACATTCAAACATGGCAGCTTCCTCTTTACAGCACTGTAGGAGCACAGTGCATTTTGAAGTGACCTCATGGACTCAGAAAGTGTATGGATGAAACCAGGCTCAAGGCTGCACCATAGTTAAAGTACAAAATGTGGTGCAGTGGAACCATGTATACAACAATACTGTCAGGATGATGGAGCCAGGTTCCATATAAGGCTAAACAAGTGAGCTCTGAAAGCCCTGTAGCATCACACAGTGCAACACATCAAACAAGACAGAGTCACCAAAGTAACCACCAATAGCTTTTTTAGATTTTAGTAGTTGGCATCGCCTCCCAAGAGCACAATGAATGATCAAGAAATAAGAACCATGTTTGACATTATGGAACACAACCCATGCTGTGACTTTTACATAGAAACCTACACTCTTAGGACTTACCAACACCTTGTATTCAGTAAATTTATCAGTGAGGCTGTGAACATTTCCTTAAAGCAAGTAAATTTCACTACCCTAACCACCAGGCCTGCACTGCAGCTCCTGAAATGCTTCGATACCTAGGGCAGAATGAAGGACAGCAAAATGTTACCTGGTCTAGGAGGTTGAGCCGACCGACATAAGCTCTCTCTGTAAGCAAAAGTTCAGTGGCTATTTTGTGAAGTTTCTGCTCATTAGTCTCCTAAAAAAAAAAAAAATCAGATATTTGCATATAAAAAGGATGCTTAGATATTTTTCTTAAGTACCAAACACGAGCTGGGTGATCAGACCTGTATGTTCTGTGCCTGGTCATAGCAGTTTACCCTTTTTCTCAAAATCTTGTCTTTCTTGGTGCCCAGTACCATATTTCATTAGCTCTTATCTCCTTCTTACATACAGTACCACACTGTTTTATTTATTAACTCTTGTAAGTAACATTTTGCCTTTAAAAATATATTATGAAATATATGCTCATAAATATTAAGAGACAAAAGACTAAAATGCATTATTATCATGTGCCCAGTGCTTAGACACGACTATCGATATATCCCAATCTTCTTCCAGCTATGTCTCCTCTTACCTCTCTCATACTTTTCTTTCTTTTGGGACAGGGCATCATTGCGCTGTCCTGACTGTCCAAGAACTAACTAGCTTTGTAGATTAGGCTGACCTTGAACTCACAGAGTTCTGCCTGCCTCTATTTCCCAAGTGTTGGGATTAAATGTATACACCAGTAACCCAGGCCTCATCTAATCTATAATTAAAACTAATTTTAAATGTTTGCTCCTTAAATAGGTACATTTATTTAACTATTAAATTTATCTGTATAACCTTGTTTCATGATGATAGATAATTTTTACTTGTTAGGGTTCTAATTCCTTTAATCAACTATGGCGCTCCAATAAGAATCCCAGCGTTCAATAAAAGACTGTTGATAAAACAACTAGCTATCTTCCATATAACTACTGTTTTGCAATTATTATGACTTTGACAAAATGTCAGAGTGCTGTTTTTCAAGCACCTCTGCCTGATGATCAAACTATAAACTTTCCCTTCCTGGCACCACCCCATTTCATGTATCTATCTATGGTCCATGGAATCTGGACAACCAGGTTCTATGAGTGGTCATGCCTAAAAACATTAAAAGGAATGAACAAAGAGTACACACACACATACACACACACAATGACAATTAGTGAAAAAGGAGACTATGAATTTGAAGGGACATGATTTGAAGGAATGTGGGGATATGGGAAGGAGGAGGAAAGGGAAGGGAGTAATATAACTTCATTATAATCTCAAAGAAAAGATTAAAAAAATACCAAGTTTTCCTCACTGCCGCTGTGTTCTCCAGCTCTTCTTTCATTTCAAGCTGACATGAATCAAGTTTCTGTGCCCTCTGAGTTCAACATCTTTTCACTGTAACTTACCTTATATATTGCTACATGAGGAACCTCTCTAAAACTTTGCTTTTACACATATGAGTACACTTCAGAGGAAGAAATGGAAATGCACTCTCTTTTACAGCCACAAGAAATGCTGGCCTGCATTAACCCGACACTCAGGAGGATCTACTGAGGCTTAGTCTTCTGACAGTAAAATACACCCTTTTGGAGTTTGGAGAAATTCATATAAGCATGCAAACACCACCACCAGCAACGTTCAGGATATTCCCATCATTCCTAAATTCTACTTTTGCTCCTGCTGCTAAATTCTTCTACACTTTTGGGCTCTTCATCCAGCTCCTGATACCATGGACCTGTGCTTTTCTAGAGCATCAGATGAAGTGGAATCACCTGGCTGTCATTTAGCTAGTTAGGTTCCTTTGTGACACATCACATTATTTCTTGTATTAGTAGTTATTCTTAATTTTATCTCATAGTGATGATGTACCTTTGATTTACATTTTTATATAGTTTACATCTAAATATTACTCTGTGTGTGTGTGTTTGTGTGTGTGTGTATGTGTGTGTGTGTTTGTGTGTGTGTGCTTGTGTGTGTGTGTGTGTGTATTTTACTTCTTTTCATGTGTATGTACTGTGTGTGAGAGTCTATAAACTTGTGAAGGCCTGAGTTAATGTTGGGAATCTTTCTCAGTCCCTTTCCCAATCAAACCTAGAGTACATCGACAGGGCTGGCTTCTGCAGCCAGCTTGCTCTGGGGACCCAGCATCTATTTGCCTGAGTCTGGGATTACAGGTGGTCACCACATCCACTCCTGGCTTCTGGAGAATCTAAACTCTAGGCCCTCGGCCTGCTCAGAAAGTATTTTATCCACTGAGCCATCTCTCCAGGTCCCTGACATTATTTAAATTCAGTAGATTTTTTTTTCTATAACAAAGTACTTTTCATGGGCTACAAAACACTCTGACAGGTCACACTTTTCTACTGATATGCAGGGAGGTCATCACTGAGGTCACAGGTCTATGGGATCTTAAGAAGAATGCTTAGAAGAAGCAACGTTTTGCTGACTGGGAAGTACCTGAGCTGAACTTGGCCAAGTATATGGTCATACTCTGCAGAACACAATGGTGGCAGCAGTACTCAGCAAAGGCTCTTTGCATAGCCATCTCCCACATTAGGTGCCAGGCCCTGTCAAAGCTCACACACATGTAAGAAGGGGACTCACTGGCATCCAGTGTAGTCACATACTCATACACATTCTCAGAACAGTTACTAGGCATCTTGTGGTACAGATGAGGAGTTACAGACTATTGGAGTATTGGCTTGGGTTACTCCAAAGAGATGCTAACATTTAGTAGTTGAGATTTTATGTCATGTCCCAAACATGGTGATATGTTTCATAATTCACTCATCTTTTCTTGAGACTGAGTTCACAGTTGTCTGTGAACTCACACAGATCTGCCTGCTCCTGACTGGGATTAAAGGGCTGTGTCACCACATCTAGCCCTTGATTTATCCTTTTAACTATAAAACAGGAACAATTTTTATTTTTGTTTTTCAGGCCTTGTACACATAACAAAAATACTGAGCTGAAGGCAGCTGGGTCACACAGTTACAAAGTCACTATATCAATTCCACTCATAAAGGATTTTATTCAACTATTTGTTATGTAGTTCAATAGTTTCATCTTACCTTTTCATGCAAAAAATAAGACTTTGATATAAGTAAAGAACACAGACTGAAGAAACAAATTGTCTGCTGATAAAACCTGTTTTAGCAGAATGTCTGCAGCTAGGTGCATTTTAACATATACTTAATTTTTTTTCCCGAAGAAATTCCTTTCAATGCAGGCTTTTAAAATGCATTTTAATAATTATCAGGTATATAAAATTCATATATTTTAATGGAAAAATTGTTCCCAATTTAAAAGATTATCTTGTAAAACACATCTATTAGATTTATGAAGAAATGCTGTATCTACCTAGATGGAGCTCTGTGATATTTATCATTTATTATGATACATTAGAAAAAAATTTCCTGTGTGTTTCCAAGGCAGACCAGACAAACAAACAAAACATCCCAAGGCAGATCATCACCAACAATCTTTTGATCTAGAGCTGACTATAAAGAAATTCTTACTTATCTTTGTCCAAAAGTATATCACAATGAACCTCTTCATTCAGAAAGTGTCCTGTGCTGTCATACAGCAAAGAAAGAATGCCAACAAGAAGAGAGAGGTGGAGCTGAGCTTCCTCAGCAGTCCATCAGCAGTCATGCTTACTCAGTGATCTCTCTAGACAGAAGAATGACAAAGCTCAGAAGAACTGAGCATGGAGACTTTCTGGGTAGCTGAACACATGGAACTTCCTGCAAGACAAAGTGTGCACAGAGAGGGTAGGCAAGACCCTCCTCTCTGGTACCCTGCCTTATGTATCCTTATCTTTAATTTTTGTAACATTCTGTATAATAAACTATGCATAGAATATTTTCCTTTCCTTAGTGCTGTGAACCACTCGAGCAAACAAAATGTGATGAGCATATCTTGTATCTTATATCTTTATAGTAGTTGGTCAGAAGCACAATCTGAGTTTATGGTTCGCTATGTAAGAGAAGTAACTCAAACTTTGGAGACTAAACCTCCAACCTGAGGACTAGAACTGGTATCTGAACTAACTAAATCCAAAGACACTCATAGTTTTCCATATAGCTGAGTGCTGCTCCCTGATTGGAAGAAATCTATACATATGGGAATTCAGTGTAAGTTATGTGAGTTGATGTTTCCTTTTATTTTACCAGGATGAATTAAATTTATGCATAAATAAGGAAGTGGTTATATTTTACTTACTTTTATGTTGCTTGTGATGTAATCTTCAAACATACTGTGCAAGTAATCTTACTGAGCCACAACTCCAGCCCTGAAGTAGTTTTAAATTTTCACTGGCATATTGGATCTAGCCTATTTTTTTTAACATAGGAAATTTAAATAAGTAATACAATTTGTAAACATTTGTCAGTCCTGAAGTCTATGGAGCTCTGCCTTGTCCTAAGTACTTTACTAAGAAACCTTCTGTCCTGTGCGCCTTTAGAAACAGTATCAGCTATCTAACACTGAGTCAATAAACAACCCCATTGCCTTCTAGAGGATTCTAACAAATAGGCTTGCCATTGCAAGATAACTAACAGATAAGTATGAGTCCAAATAATCAAGGTATGTAGTAAGTGATATGCAGAAATGCCCTATAGTCTCCCTCTTTAAGGTAAAAAGAATTAGGTTTTAAAGATCTCTTTAGATATTTGTAAGGGTGTGCATTTATATGTGATTAAATACATGTACTTCTGCACACTGATTCAGAGGCCCAAGGAGAGTATCGAGTGTTCTGTACAGTTTGCACCTATTCTGTTGAGGCAGGTCTCTTCTTGAACCTAGGACTCATGTTTTCTCAGTCAGGCTGAAATCAAGCAAATACCATGGATTGCCACGTCTCTACTTCCCTTGGAGCTAGGGTTATAGATTCATACTGGGAGCCAGGCTTTTCTTGTGGGTGCTGAGATCTGAACTTTGGCTCATGGTTATATACCAGACACTCTAAACTACTGAGCTGTCTCTCCAGTCCAATGGATTCCTAAAAAAAAAAAAAAACCCAACAAACAAAACACTTTTACAGCCTAGTGTGGAGGCTTTCAACTGCAGTGTCAGCATTTAAGAGGCTGAGGCAGGAGGATCGCTGAGAGTTTCAGTCCAGACTAGAGTTGAGCGTCTGCTCGGGAAAGCCAACCTCTGCAACAACAGCAGCAGTCA